TGATGATGGTCTATCTTGTAGACTATAAAACAAGACAGTCTGTAGCCCATTTAGTTAGGACATCGCAATCTTTACATGACCTCATTTGTTTGGTTAAAATGAATGATGACTAGTCTGTTTTGCAGACGATAAAACTATCGGGGACAATTATCAAACTTGTTTGGTATTATAAATCCTGTCGGCGACGCGATAATCTTGTCATGGAAGAACAGGCACACGTGAGATTTTATTTAAGATTCGAGTCAACGACAAAAATCAGCGACAAAGACTGCTTGTGTGCCCACACCGTAAAATGACGAAAATAAAAGGAAGAACTTACAGCGAAGGCGTCCGTCTGGTCGTCCTGTTCTATATCAATGTCATCTTGTATTGGTTCTATTTTTAATTCTTTATCATCAGGGGCCTAAAGAAAGAAAGAACTATATTTTACAAGGATAATAACAAAAAACAACATGACTGGTTTGCCGACATCTCCAACTTTGACTTTCAACGACCGATAATCCATTGTCACCGACAATCAGAACATCACTATAGTGATATAGTGGTCTTGAAGATACAAATCCTACTAAAAGGAGCCTAACTCTTTCCTACACAGATTCATCTGTAAATTTACAATTTAATCTTCTCTGTGCAATGAGGGAAATTTTGCCAGGACATTAGCCTAACTCTTTCCTACACTGGTTCATCTGTAAAGTTACAATTTAATCTTCTCTGTGCAATGAGGGAAATTTTGCCAGGACAGCAGCTTTGGCCTGCTCTTTTTCGATTTCCAACTGTCGAGGGATCTTTAACGTGTACAGTCTGTAGTACACAGAGCCTTGATTTATTGTCCCAGCCAAACGACTAGACGCAGTGTGCTGTGCAGTGTGCAATAAGGGAAAACTCTTTCTTCACTGGTTCATTTGCAAATTTAACAATTTATGAGTTAAATTTTGATAGTTACCTTTTCTTCAGTTTCGAATTCTACACCAAATATTGGACAATGGCTATAAACTTTGTGTATATTCTGAATTTGTTTGGCCACGGATTGAAGCTTTTCAGATGGGTCAATTCTAAAACCAAGAACATAGCCTCCACTCTATAAAATAGAATTGATTAATAATATCTTTTGCGATTTGCAGAGTCATCAAACACTTAGTTTTAGTAGAATTGCAGGAATCACAGACGTCTGATTGAAAATTAGAATGGTGTAAATTGATGCTATCAGTGTCCCTGATACACATACAAAATATAGAAAACCTCTTTATAATCTCTTTAACAAGAACCACAGACGTCTGATTGAAAATTAGAATGATGTAAATTGATGCTATCAGTGTCCCTGATACACATACAAAATATAGAAAACCTCTTTACAATCTCTTTAACAAGAACCACAGACGTCTGATTGAAAATTAGAATGATGTAAATTGATGCTATCAGTGTCCCTGATACACATAAAAAATTTAGAAAACCTCTTTACAATCTCTTTAACAAGAACCACAGACGTCTGATTGAAAATTAGAATGATGTAAATTGATGCTATCAGTGTCCCTGATACACATAAAAAATTTAGAAAACCTCTTTACAATCTCTTTAACAAGAACCACAGACGTCTGATTGAAAATTAGAATGGTGTAAATTGATGCTATCAGTGTCCCTGATACACATAGAAAATCTAGAAAACCTTTTTACAATCTCTTTAATATTGACGCTCAAATCCTATGTATAACTTCACTAAAATCATCACACGAAATTTTCAAAACTATCTCGAAAGAGAGAGACGAGGCCCCAAATTCTTTCGTGAACTTTCTAAATCCCAAGAACTTGAAATAAACGAAGATTTACCCACCATTGAAGAAGTTTCAACAACTAGTGCTAATCCAAACTTTGAATCTCGAATTTTTATAGTTTTCTGAAAAAAATTCATAGTTTACATAAAGATTGGTTACGTAAGTGATCAAAGGAAATAATTTCAATGGGAATTTTTTTTTTTTTTGAGCAACCTTTATTGATGACAAAAATCAAAAGCCAAACGTGCACGACGGACTTTTGTCTGCGAAACATTGTTGTTTGTTTGAAGAAAATGAAACTTGTTTGAATTCGAAAAAAATGTTCCGCGGCGAAATATTTCGAGTCTGTTATGTGCGTTAACAAAAAATATTTTTACGAAACATTTTCAGCGCTCAACCAATCAACACACAATATCGCGTCACTTGATATAATATTCATCGGAATATGTCATGTTTCTTTTGAACAATGTCCATGGTTTTTGTTTTCATCGGACAAAAATCTGTCATCTGCGCTTTTCTGGTCCTCTCACCACCCCACCCCCACAGCCCCTCACACCCTTGTGTACTTACCATTTGTAAATAAGGTATACTGACGTTGAAAGATTCGTTAATATTAGCATGCCAGACCAATCGAACATTCGTGATATAAAATGTTCCCAAATTTCCCTAAAAAAACAAAAGTCAAAAATGTATTTTTACCTCCTACTTTCCTGCACTTTATTGGGCTAATGAAGACAGGTATCTGTGCAGTGTACAATGAGGGAAATTTTGCAAGGACAGTTGCTTTAGTCTGCTCTTTCCAACTGTCGAGGGATCCATAGTACACAGGGCCTTGGTTTATTTAGTTACCAACAACCCCCAGTGGACATAACTCAGTCATTGATGTCAAGATTTCAACACTCTAATCAACTGAGCTACACCCTGCCCTCATTATTTCAAACTAATGGAAGTTATTACCTGATCACTAGAGAGATTCCAACTAATAACCCCCATTTCAACACTCTAACCAAATGAACTACACCCTGCCCTCATTATTTCATACTAATGGAAGATATTACCTGATCACTGGACAGATTCCAAACTCCATTTACTTGATCGTAGATTTCTTCTTGAGGTAGCAAACGCAGCTGTTTATTCTGAATCAGAGCTCCTCTTAGCTTTAAATCGCGGTACAGTTTCGACGTTTCATAAGCTCTATAAAAAGGTCAAAAGGTTAAATTGAGGAACCTTTAAGAAGGCCGTCTTGAGACCCTAACTGAAGTGGCTATATTTAAAATAAAAAATAGACCACCACATATTTTTACTTCAATTTAAATCTAAGAAAAAAAAGAGTTTGATAGCTCTCTCACAAAATCCCAGCGCATGAGAAGGAAGAAATTTGATTGGTTAAAGTCATCAGGTTAGGTCAAATGGTTCATTTGGCGAATTTTCAAGAGGGCTGTAGTTAGACCTTAACTGAAGTGGCTACACTAAAAATAAAAGTTAATAAAAAACAGAAAGAAAGATTGGTCTAATTTAGAAAGAAATTTTCTTATATTTTCAGAAATATAACTATTTACCTATGAACGGCTATAACTGAAGTAAAAAGTCGAGGCGAACCTGCAATCTATAAAAAGAAAACATAGCGTGTCAGACAAGGTAATATACTTTCACAGAGTGACAACGTTATCAATAAACAGCCCTATTAGGATAAGGGGGGACATGCGGGGCCAGGCCCAACCTAAGAAAATTTTGGCCCCACTCCCTTAAAAATTGAGATGACTGGTATAACTTGTTGACTCATTATAGTTAAGCCCCTCTAAAAAAATGTTGGCCCACACCCTAAGGTCCTGGGCCCCGGCAAATGAGAATTAAACCCAAGCAATTGACCTCTCTCAAAATCTTCAATTCACATTTACAGTGTCTTCATCTGGTATCGTTTCCTGGGTAACCAAAAAAAGGGGGGGGGGGGGATAGGGAGTCCCTGTGTTTAGTTATCTTTTCCTCAGGCATGTGAATACGCCTCAGAATCTGCAGAAAAGTATATTTTGGGTCTCTAGTTTTCAAAGTTTCTTCATCAGGGGACAAAACATGCTTTTTGGGACCATGACATGGGCCAAGTTGACTATTATCAACCATGCTTACACATTTGAAACACTTGATATCGCCTACGCCTGGGTTTGTCAACTCCAACTTCTTGTATTATTTGACATTTTTTTAAATAAGTTTTGAAAATTACAATTTTTGATAAAAAAAATTATAAATATTAGGCCATGTGTGTCACTTACCAAATTGGTAAAAATAAATTCGAATCTCGTACTGTTGCATTTAGTTAAAACATACAGAGCTTCTGAGGTTCCACGTAATTTCTAAAATAATAAATTAATATATGGTGATTAATACTAAATACTAATAGGAAGGGACATAACTCTAGTTATGGATATACTAGTGACAGGTTGTAGCACAGTTGGTTAGAGTGTTGGAATATTACATGATGTCACTTCCTTGGTAGTGTTGAATAAATTGTGGCTATGAGTTCTAATCTCAGTCGACGTGGTCATCTTTCCTCATAATTCCAGTCGACCCAGCTGTAAATGGGTACAGATAATCCAGGAAAGATCAATATCAAGAGGTTTGGTCAAGGATCAGCTTGTAGAAAGGATTCTTAACTATGAACCTAAGTTATTATCCTTGTAAAATCAATACCAAGAGGTTTGACCAAGGATCAGCTGGTAAAAAGGATCCTTGTGAAACTAAGTTATCCTCGTAAAATCATTACCAAGAGGTTTGACCAAGCACCAGCTGGTAGAAAGGATACTTGTGAACCTAAGTTGTTATCCGTGTAAAATCATTACCAAGAGGTTTGACCAAAGACCAGTTGGTAGAAAGAATCCTTGTGAACCTAAGTTGTTATCCTTGTAAAATCAATACCAAGAGGTTTGACCAAAGACCAGTTGGTAGAAAGAATCCTTGTGAACCTAAGTTGTTATCCTTGTAAAATCAATACCAAGAGGTTTGACCAAAGACCAGTTGGTAGAAAGAATCCTTGTGAACCTAAGTTATCCTCGTAAAATCATTACCAAGAGGTTTGACCAAGCACCAGCTGGTAGAAAGGAACCTAAGTTGTTACTCTTATAAAAATTTATATTATAATGGCTACTTACTGAATTTGCTGTTTTTGTAGAAATATTAATAACACAATTAAAACCAATAGCTGAAAAAAAAAAAAAATAAAGATAATTTAACTCATTTTCGCCACGTTAAACCAAGCTACGTCGGTTTCATATATCATCTGTTTACATTGTACAGGGTACTGGATAAACAAGCAACATCATGCAGTGTGCAATAAGGGTAATTTTGCTATGATAGCAGCATTAGCCTACTTATTTTTATACGCCCACATGAAATGGGGGGCGTATATTGTCGTCACCCATGTCCGTCGGTCCGTCCACAATTGCTCGTAAACACTCTACAGGGCACAATTCTTGACGGATTTTAACGAAACTTAGTATGTGTGTTCGCAATCACCCAAGGATAAACCCTATTGAAAATCAGCGAAATTGAAAAATATTTAGCATGAATTATTGCCCTTGTTAATTTTAGCTCGTAAACACTCTAGAAGGCACAATTCTTGACAGATTTTGACGAAACTTGGTATGAGTGTTTGTAACCACCCAAGGATAAACCCTATTGAAATTCAGCGAAATCGAAAAATATTTAGTATGAATTATTGCCCTTGTTCTTGCAAACCCGTTCAATTTTTAGCTCGTAAACACTCAAGAAGGCACAATTCTTGACAGACTCTACAAGTCACAATTTTTTTGTTCATAATCACAATTTACAATAGATGTCATTATTTTCCTGAGAAACTATTTTGGTTAACAAATAAGAAAATTTAATTTAATCATTTAACATGTCCCTAACCAGCCACCATACATGTACAGCATCATAAGATACTATAAATAGACCAAGTGGAAAATCCAAGACAGATATCCAATCATAACTTAGTCATGTGACATCCCAAGATGCAGCAGTTTATCTGATTTCATTTTATAAATGTCATTCAAGAGAAAAGGTTTGCTTAATCATTTCATTTTCACCAATTGTAATGATACAAAAATGAAATTAAACATGGGTCATAGGGGAAAGGTTTTGTTTCTTGAAAGATTGAATTGAGTTGCTGGATAAATAGGCTACTATAGGAAAAATATTTAGTATGAATTATTGCCCTAGCCTGCAAACCGTTCATTTTTTAGGTTGTAAACACACTAGAAGGCAGAATTCTTGACAGATTTTGACGAAACTTGGTATGAGTGTTCGTATTCACCCAAGGATAAACCCTATAGAAAAATCATGGAAATCGAAAAATTTTATTCTACAAAGCAGAAGTCTAAAACAAATTTGACAACTTGATGAAATTGATGACAATCAAAACTAAACCTTTTGAAATATAAAATACAAGTTATTGCCGTTATTCTTACAAATGTGTTTGATTTTTAACTTGTGATGGCACAGTTTGTGATGGATTTGGGTATAAGTTGAATATTTCCTGGTGTCTGTTTGCTATTTTCTTACAAATATTCAATTTCAGTGGGCGTATATTACCTTGCCTGGCAAGCTATCTTCATTTTGGTTGGTGAGATGAAATGGAATTTAATACCCTGCTTGTCTGTGTGTGAATGTGATAATGAAAATAGGGCAACACCATGCAGTGTATAAAATCAAAAATATATTTTGATACGTTTTTGGCACCTCAAAATTGTCAGAAATGAGTTCTCTGGGCCTTTAATGCTTCAAATTTTCTGAGTACAAAATCTGAGCCCCAGCACCAATTTATTCCTGGCTACAGGCTGCTTTTCCATGTAAAAGAAAAACCACAAAGAGAGAACAGTACTTACATAGGTTAACTCTAGGTAGAGCTAGAGAGTGCCAAATTAATCTTAAATTGGTCACAACTAATCTACC